AAACAATGTGATATTTAAACCTGTGTGTCTGATTTATTTCACTTAAGATTATGTTATCAAGTTTGTTGATCTATTCATTTAGAAAGGCCTTGCTTTCAAAAAAAGTAGTCTCCTACATGGCAATTCTCTTCAATTTTCAATATTTCAGAACTAGATAAATGTCATAACTTTATTTTATCCAGATATATCCAAGTACTCCAATATCATTTATCATCAATAATTTGAAATGTTCTCTTTAAAATATTTTATATACACATTTGTCTCTTTCTGGATCTGTATTTTTGTTTCATTGCTATGTTCATCTATTCCTATTCCCTTTCTATTGCTATGGCTTAATTGTGTATTTTTAAAACATGTAGGGAAAGTCCCTAATTGCTGTTATTTTTCAGATTTCCATGGTCATTCTTAAAAACAATTTCTTTGCAAAAAAAAATTTAATATCGTAAGTCAGTTCCACAAAATTTTTGAGATTTCTAGTAAACAATACAACTATTAAAAATTGAAGGCATGTACATCCTTACAGTATTTAATTTTCTCATACAGGAATATGATAGTGAAATTCTGTATTATTTCTTATGTTTTATCTAATAATTATTTTCTTATTCTCTATAATGGTTTGAACAAACTTCCATTCTTACATGTGGTAATCTGAGCGATGTAGTTGAAGATAAAAATATGTAATATAACAACCACTGTTAATTCATATTATATTGTCTTGAAACTGTTTCACTTTAAATGTTCTTGATTTGGTTTGTTTATGTTTGTGATGCTGGCATGCTGTTATTGCTCTTTTTGCTTTTTCTCATTTACTACTCTCTTTAAAATAAAATTTTAGAAAGGGAATATGAAATATTCCTCCCAAATATTTAGGTCTTTTTTATAATGCATCAAGAAGCATCTACTTTATTGCTACAAACCTTCCACAGCATTTTGCTCTTCTAACAAAGCTTATTTATATTCTATGCATGTCCCTCTTTGCAAACTACCCCTCATAAAGCAAATTTGGTATCTCCCTACCATTCTGGCATTGTTCCTCTAGTCAAGCTTCAATTTATTAGAGTTCCCAGAATGTATGGCTTCAAAAACTAAGTGTGACTCTCCAGGTGGAGTCTAGATTGAACAGAGTAAAGATGGATAATCATTTCCTTTATAAATTCAAAAGAATTTCTTACTACAAACCATTGCACTGTTGATTTATATGGTGCTTGGGGTTAACTAAGAACCTCAAGGTTCACCCTCTCCCACCAAAAAGAAAAAGATTCAAGCTAAAATTCTAATACAGTTTTTTAAAATGTTGCCCCAGATAAATGAATCTAAAACTCTCCATCTCACTACCTCCCCCATCTCTACTTAATTTCCAACACCATGCCCAGGGAAAGATCGGGTTTTGCTTTTACTAGTGGGCTGCCATTTATTGTGGGTGGGGCAATAGGTCATTTCTTGGACATGATTATCACTTCTAACCAGCAAAGAGATAAACTGTTCCTAAACAAGAAGAATCCAGCCATAGAATAGGGGTGAAGCCTCTGAAGTCCCAATCCCTGGGCTTGCATCCTGGCTTTAGTATTGACTAGCTCTATGCCCTTGAGCATGTTCTGTACTTAATTCATTAGGGCCCTATTTG